GGTGGTCGAGTGGATCATGTTGTGCGGGGTCGAGAACCCTCACTCTGCGCAAGGGGGACGATCGCACCACGTTGTATTAAATTGGTCAAGCACCCTCGAGGCAGTTACTCAGAGCTTACAACTGTCTCTGGAACCCAAAGCACCAGAAAATAACTAAAGTCATACGCGGCTGTCATCCGTATGGAAGGAAGTAAGCACAAGATGCCGAACACCCTTAGCAGGATGCAGCGCACCCTTCATGCGACTCGCCGAATATCTCACGGCGCTTCGCGCTTGGTGATGTGAGAGCCTGGTCCGGTGAGAACCCGGCGTGCTCCGTCCCGGCTTTGTAGGGATGCGAGGTCAATGGTCTAACGACTACGGCATGCACGACTATCAGTAAACCCCCCCCCCCCTCCCACCGTCGCTTCCCCGACTCTTTTTCTCTTCGGTCCCGAGATGGTTGTACTCTCTGCAGGAGGTAGGTGCGTGTCTCTTGTTCTTACTGGCATCGACCGCGCTAACTGGCTGACCAATGAGAAGACGTCAGTCTCAGTGCGGTCGAAGAAAACACATTCTTCTGAGGCCACAATCGGGGCGTGTGTGTTCGTCCTCCATTCTTTCTGGAGCCGGTTCACAGGCCTTTCGGCGTGCTGCAGCATTTACCTGACGTATCAGCCAGGGTCACACAAGAGCAAGGTCACACAGGAGCGCTTTATCGTGATGATCTTGAATCGTTTTATTTACCCACCTTTCATTCCTCTTTAGTCCCTTATTATTTCCGGCTGTGTGCACACCTATTAGTGCATCGCTCTCGGTCAGCAGTAAAAAACCGTGTCAGTTCTACTTGGAATCCAAAGCAAGCAGTCTGTCGTTCCAGGCCGTCAGAGATTGGGGGTATCCAGGAGTAGTGCCGTGTTTTATTTTCACGGCATTCTTTCGGACGTTCAACAGCTCGATTTTCAGAGACCTTCACTTAAAAACATCCCACATGCCATCTACCCACACCATACCCAGATGCCCACCATGTATCGCAAGTAGCGCAGCAAAGGGGGAGAGCAGGACAATCCTCACAGCAGCAGTGGAGGAGTAGCTGCAGTACGGACCCCGGGGGGGAGAGATGAGGGGGGAAAGTGACATCACCCTCAGAATAGTTGCCGGGGTTGCAATTTTGAAAATTTGAACCTTGCATGCAGTTGTCATTGCTCGCATAGCGCGCAGAGGGAGTGGAGGACTCGAGGATATCTGTCGTTGATTGCTACTGACCTGCGGACCCCTCGGGGCCAGTTTATTTGCGTGTACCTTTTCAGGGTAAGTTAGCCTGCGACCACGGGAATCGACCGCGTCGAGTGTTGGATCAGTACGGACATACGAAGGTACTGGGTAGAGAGAGATCGGAACGGTTTTCAAGATGAAGACAACAGCAAGAACAATAACAACGCTCTTCAGGAAAATCCGTCAAGTGCAGCCGGTCAGGTCTGGGGTCCTCTTCGTTGTCGATGCATCGATACAGATACTGAGGCGGCAGAATATATACGTACTTCAGACGGCGCCATCGACGTGTAGATACTATTTCTTCGGGGTTGCGGCTGGTGGAATCAGTTGCGGTAGCCTAAATATGGTGCCAACGCAGCACCGCGTGCTTCTCTCTCCGGCCAACATATTTCTACATGTAATAATACCCCGGTGCAGACCGTCATTCCCCTTGGACCGCCGTCGACTCCCAACATGTAATACCCCGGTGCAGATCGTCAATTCCTTTGGACCGTCAACTGTTGTTGATTTACGATGAGCACATATTTTTATTTGTACCGTTTCAAGTTACTGTAGCGTGGGCGTGCCTGGGGGGATATGGCCGGGAGCTCTTCGACATCCGCAAGCGCCATTCCTCCGACTCAAGATCCGCCTGCTCCAGGCGGAGGTGATGGAGGCACTGCTGTACGGTTGCATGACATGGTCACCACTCAGCGGCCACTATCAGACGCTGCGGTCGATACACCACCGACTGCTCCTTCGAGTGATCGGGTACAAGCGCAAGAAAGACACCTACCGGCAGCTCTCTTACGCCCAGACGCTGAAGAGGGTTGAATGTCAGAGCGTTGAAGCCACGATCCGATAACGACGCCTACCGTTCGCGGGAGCATTGGCAAGGCAGCCGGACGGGCGACTCCCGAAACGACTGATGGTTGGCGAACTGGCAGGGGGGGAAAAGCGACGTAGGGGGGAACAGAAACAGAACTGGCCGAGNGACACCTACCGGCAGCTCTCTTACGCCCAGACGCTGAAGAGGGTTGAATGTCAGAGCGTTGAAGCCACGATCCGATAACGACGCCTACCGTTCGCGGGAGCATTGGCAAGGCAGCCGGACGGGCGACTCCCGAAACGACTGATGGTTGGCGAACTGGCAGGGGGGGAAAAGCGACGTAGGGGGGAACAGAAACAGAACTGGCCGAGGTGTGTGCTCGACGACCTGAAGGCATTCGGCGCCGACCACGGATCTACGAAAACCGATCCATGTTGTTTCGGAATCCCGGTACCGAAAGACACGGCACCGAAGTTAAAGTGGACGGAAGCCGCGAAGGTAGAGGGGGGAGTACCCCGGCATGCTCAGGGAGCTGAGAGGTTCATGACCTCCTCGCACGAAAAGGAAGAAGAGGCCAGCCGACAACGGGCGCTCAAACGAAACCACAAGCCACCAACCACTGGGGCGGGAAGGGGGCAGGAGACGGACGAGACGGCGAGGGAAAAAAGCAAACGAGAGGAGACGGACCGAGTGGCGCGATACTTGCCGGATTGAATTCCATTTAGGCAATTCCCCCCCCCAACGCTGCACCATTGCACCAACCCCCCATTAGTGATGACGTACTATTACAATGTATCGCTGGTTGGTGGCCATGTTTGCGTGTTTGCTTGTCGTTAGTGGTCTCTCCACCGTGTGTCTTTTTCTGTCTCTTATTTCTTGCTATCTTCGGCCTGGTCCCTTTTTGTCCTCGCTCGTTTTATTTCATTTTCTCTTTCCTTGCTGTTTCCATTTGTTTTCTTCTCTTTTCCTCTTGTTCCCTTTTCTATCGCTTTCTGTGCCAGATGGCCTTGTTTCTGCTTGCGTTGTGAAGTACCAAGATTGAATCAAGGGGGTGTACCTCATCTCTCCGGCCCGTGATGGTGACCCCTAGTCTCAGTTGTTACCTCGCATAGCGCGCAGAGGGAGTGGAGGACTCCAGAATATCTGTAGTCGATTTCTATTGACTTGCGGACCCGTCGGGGCCAGTTTATTTGAGTGTACCTTTTTAGCGTAAGTTAGCCTGCGACCACAGGACTCTACCGCGTCGAGTGTTGTATCAGTACGGACATACGAAGCTACTGGGTAGAGAGAGATCGGAACGGTTTTAATGTGAAGACAACAGCAACAACAACAACTGTAAACTCGTCACCTAGCTTTCACATTTCGACTATTCTGTTTTTTGCAAGCGTGACTGCCTGTTGCCTTTCAGTCGGCCCCAAACACAGCGAGGAGAGACATAGACACACGCCTCACACAATGGATAAGCGTATGGCTCCAGGAACCCACGACGTTGTGTAAACTTCAGCAGTTTCCACTCTGGTCACTGGAAACTTACAAGTCAGCAGACTACCCTACTGGTCTGTGCTCTGTAGATAGCAAGCGGCAAGACACGGGGTATTTATTTGCTTGTTTGTGGATATGCGGAGATACATTCCGAGGAGACGGACTCTGCAAATGCACGCCGATTCGCTTGCTCCCGTCTGTCCGATGACAGCAGAGGCTGCCGAGAAAGAAAGAGGGGCTGCATTTACACGCCTTACGTTGCATCTATGCCTTAAGTCCACTTGCTGCATGGGCAAGGGTCGACAGGTTGCACAGCAAAACATAATGTTGGACCTGCAGTAGGGACTCACTCACCTACTGATGCAGAAGCTGATCACGGCGCTTCATACTCACAAGAATAGTCCACACTGCTGTTCGTTAGAAAAGCCCGTCATAGTCTAGAGTTGATGTCAACCAACCAAACACATACATGAAGCAGGGGGCATGGATTTCGCTAGAAGCCAACTCCAACTACAGGCAGATCTGCTTTCAACATCCACTCTCGCACAGCCACGCACCTTGCATACCCGTTTCTTTCCGCTGAAAACACGGAGACACGAAGGTTCAAGCCCTCGGCTGGAGACGATGATGCAGCAGGTAGCTTTGCCTCCCCTAGATTCCGAACAGGGAGACCGAGCGAGGGACAGACAACCCTGACGAGCAACAGAAAAAGAACCCTGACGGCGACCCCCCGCTGAATATGACAAGGCCACTACGGTGGCAAAGCTTGGTAAATGATGGTCCTGAGAGCACCTACCACCTCCTGACCCCTGTCGTGCAATGTGGCGGGCGGCGTTCAAGTGGTTCGAGAATTAATTTGTCTTGCATTGCATTGGTTGAACTGGTACGACAAAAAGAATATTTTCATGGTTGATGATATGCATGTGTATGATGATTGTTGTTGTTGTTGTTGTCTTCACATTAAAAACCATCCCGGTCTCTCTATCCAGTACCTCCTTCTGTCTCAATCTCTCCGTACCAATCCATCACTTGACTCGGCCAATTTCCGTGGTCACAGGCTAACGTACCTAGAAAAGGTATACCAAAATAAAATGGACCCCAAGGGTCAGCAGAGCGATAAAATACAAGAAAACAAAATATAATCAGAAACAAATAAAATAAAATAAAATAAATAATTAGACTAGTGGAACGGCCGCACCACCAGCCTGGGGGGGTAGCCTCCCACTACATGGAGGCAGGTCGACGGCCAAAGGAAGGGGCGGGGGTACGTGCCAGTAAAAAACAAAACAAAAGACAAAATAAAACAGAATAAAGCAAAGACGAGGACACAAACAAACTCGCACAGAGACAGGGATATCCCTAGAGACAGTCTGAACGCGACAGCAAACGGGGGAGAGGGCAACAGAAAATTAGTCGTTGAAATTCGACCGCAACATGTCACGTCACGCGGCGGTCTCTTCTCGCTTGCTTTCTTCCCGCCGCGCCGTTTCCTTCCGCCCCCCTACCGCCCCGTTGATTCACTGCGGAAATATCTGTTAAGTCGTCAAAGACCCGCCCGCAGGCGTCTTGATTGATCTTTCTTTGGAGTCAGGGTATTTACCAATCAATAAAATACATACCATTCAAAAGGTGCGGACCAGGGCCTTCGAATAAACCTACACTTTTTTCCCCTCGCTGCCTCGGCAAGGTTTTGCGTAGGCAGACCCTTGGCGAGGGGGGGTCTTTCTAGCGAGCAGGGCTAGACTCACCCTCAAGGGATGACCGAAACCTTCTTGCTGCTGCGCATATCCGCCGCGAGGCATGCGCGTGGTGGTGTAGTTGGGTCGGCACTGATGGGGTCAGGCGAAAAAATGTAGATGCNATGCGCGGGCCTCCAGGCCGTCGGTGTAGGCAGCAATGCCCATCTCATCTTTGTGCGCGGAGGCAGACGTAATCAGAAAGGTAGACGGACACTATGTACACGGCCCTAAGTTTGCTAGAGGGAGCTGTGCTGTCTCAGTAACCTGGTGATGCCATCAAAGGAGGAGGGGACAGGTGGTGACGAGCTGATTGGGCTGGTTGATCCTTCGGCGCGACAATTTTTAGTCCAAGAACCTAAAGTGCAACGAGGGAGAAAGCGAGGAACCGACTGGGAAGGACAGCAACG